AAAAAAAAAAACATGGAGACAAATTTGAGTTCCAGGGTAGCCAATTGTTAACAAGAGACTGAGTGACTGAAGTAAGCACGAGAGCTGTACATGCAATGCAGTGTCTTGTGTAGGGTTTGTGCACCTTGGCAGTGTTCTGTGGCAGTTTGGTTTCATGGGGATTCCATCAATTTACATCTACAACAGGCAATCTGCCATGATGTGAATATCACCGTACTAAGGGTGAAGGTAACGTAGCTAATTACATTCATATCCTGCTTTCAGAGGGGAACGAACCCCATTTCCAAGGCCCTCTGTGCTTCTGAATTACTGTGAAGATGCTTCACAGATCACACAAAATTCACATGAAACATTCAAGAAAAATGGCAGTCATTGTGCCCAAAAATAATCATCTGTGTTCAGTATAATATAAATGGTTATGTTCAACAAAACTTGAACAGTAATCCAATGTTTGTTCCCTTGTCTGCTTATGTGACACACACATTATGATGACTAATGTAACAGAGTAGAAATGCTGAACTCATGATGCAAGGAGGCTGAGTTAATTCATACAAGTTTAATCTCTCCACTGCAGTGACCACAGCACACTGGTATAGAAGGTCCGATGAGCATCTGTCCACCCACAGCAACTGCGGCGCCCATTACAGCACTGCATGCTGCATCAGATAGCAGGAGTGGCATCGGGTTTGCCAGCAGCTGCAAACATATTATTATATAACTGGTCTAAGCAGAACAGAATATGTCACTTGCTTTGTAGTTAGGGTGATTGTTCCAATGCAATAGAAAGAAAATGCAAAAGTGATGTGACACAAAGTTTAATATACATCAATCCATGCCAAAAAAAAAATATGGTGAATAAATATCAGCTGTGTATCAAGGCATGTTTTGAAAAAATGAACCTGAACTGTTGTAATGTAAGTAAGGGAGAGGAATGACCAAAGGATGGACATATAAAAGGGATTTGGAAGGAATGTGGGAAAAAAAGAGGAAGGGAGATAAAGATATGAAAGCTTATGTGACAAATGATAAAACTTTCCACTGAACTTTCAATGGGCATTACACTAGCATGTATCAGACATCAGAAGTATACATAACTCCTCTGTTCCCAGGAACTGCATGCACTCTGTCACTGCTGCCTCCCATAGCAGTTCACAGTGGGAACCTAAGTGCAGTCTTTCAAGGCTTACACAGCCTGGTAGCATTGTTATATAGACTAAAAATAAATAAACATAAAAAATAAAGCTATCCCTGCAACAGGCCGTGGAGGCCCATACTGTTGTGAGATGTGGAGGCTCCCACATTTTCTAGACAATCGGCTCACAGATGGCTCTGCCTTATGCACTGGCTGGCTGCCATTTACCACCAGGAAGGTGCCTGGTACTCATTTCTGTTAGGGGCTGAGTTGACCCCAGGGCCATAGTGTGGCTGGAAGGATTAGGTCATCAGAAAAACACAATGACCTCACAGGGAATTGAATCCCCGAACTTCTGGCTTGTAGCATAGTGTCTCAACCAACTACGCTACCACATGCCCCAAATAAACAGATAAGTGATCCTAATCTTATTTCAGAGCATACATTAATTTTTTCTTGTACATAGCTAGATGAATCCCAATTCAGAAAAGCATTTTTCAGTAGAAACATGATACATATTTAATGCAAATAAATATCTTCACATACAACAAGCCATTTTTGAGAAATCTTATAAAATTAAATTTTCCCAACCACGAATCTCATCAGGGCAACAAAAGAGTGCAGGGGTTCACAAAGAAGAGACTACTTAAATTAAGCAAACCCCTTTCTGCTGATCACTGCTCTGGGGTGATTCAATTACTGAAAAAGCCATAGAAGCCAACTTACACTTTCTGCAATTTTCTCGGCACAAGTGGACATGCTTAAGCCAGTGAAGTCTGGCTCTGTCCTTGCATGTGTATTGCTACTGCCTAGGAGAGTATGATGCAGGGACTTGCTGAGAAGCATGGTGCCTGCTGCAAGATCCAGAATGTTAGTTGAGGCCAGCTCAGGTTTGTGGCTGATACTGTATGTGTGGTCGAAATTCTCCCGTAGAACACTCAGGTTTCTGTGGGCAGAGTATCAGATGTCTGTGTGCCACTGTTACCAATATAATATAAATATGTATCAATGCTACAAGGCCTATGTACCTGTACGTGTTGAGAAGAGACTCCCGGGCCTTACCCCGCTCCTCTAGAACTCTCTTCAGTGCCTCCTGCAGGTCGGTAGCTTTCTGGTTCAGGGCTGCCTTCCAACGGGCCAATTCCTCCACCATTAAACTGCATAGGATATGTTACAATTATAGACAAAATTTGTGCTGGTTTAATAGGACTGCTAGGTTGTAGCAATGTACTGTAACTGGAATAAATTGGTCAAGAAGGTGGAAATGGATGGAGAAATAAAAAATGCATGCCAAATAGAAAACACCATGGAAAGAGACTGAGATGAGACATTAACCCATGTTCCAAGTGTTAAATTAAAGAAAGAGGATCTGGACTGCATTGGTTGCAAATATTTTATGTGACCTGTGCAACAAATGTATAGAAACTGGACTGAGAATGAGATTCAGTGTGGGGATTTGGAAAGCAAAAGGTGTGCAAACTCACACACCTGCTAGCCAGAAACTTGCTCCTCCACACCTCACATTGCCCTGCGAGCCATTCTGTCTGTTCCTGGTGTGTTGACAGACGTTGTGCTGAGTTGAGCAAGGCACGTGCCAGCTGCAGCTTGTCTTCTGTCAGCAGGTGCACCCGTGTCTCCAGATCTTCTCCTACTGCAGCCACCAACAGATTTTTGAGTTCCCCATTCACCTGACACAGCATAAGAACTTTGCTCAGAACTAATTATAATACAGAAAAGATGCATTAACTATAACAATGTCTTTTACTTCCTGTTCTCAGACCAGCCTGAAGAGATCTCATCCAGTAAACTAATTTAATAACTGTAGGTATTCAATTTGTTACACAAACCTCCACAGCTTTAACTATTTCCATCTTTTCTCTCATGTTTCCAATCCCTTTTACTACCATAGTCAATAAGTTCATGGACTGGTCGCAAAACGTCGTCGTAATGCACTACAACAGTTAGATTGAGGCATGATATGATGCTCTGTCACTTCCTCTATTGTGAACCGCAGTTAAATGCAAGTGGTGGAAATCAAAAATCTAATGTAACGGTTTGAACAACGGGTAAACATAAAGTTCTGCCAAAAACTAGACAAATCCCCTAGCGAAATGTTTCGTGTAGGAAGAATTGGCTGTTGCTACATGACAATGCCCCTGCACATCACTCTGTTCTTGTCCAAGAGGTACTGGCAAGACAACAGGTCACTGTTTTGCCACACACTCTATACTCACCTGATCTCACACCATGCAATTTTTTTCTCTTTCACCACTTGAAAGCAAAGCTACGTGGTCGTAGATTTCAGTTGTCCAAGGATGTCATCAATGCCACATGAGACCATACGGGAATGAATAAAACCACATTCATTCCAGCTGTTATACTTGCTGAGACTCAAAACTCAGAACTTTCCAAACATGTATACACATTACCACTCCCTCCCTCATCACATACCTGAGCCTGGAACTTCAACTGACTTTCCAATTGTCCATTCTCTTCTCTCAGTGTCTTGATCTCATTCTCCATTGCTTTCCTCTCCTGTGCTGCAGCATCAGTCTGGTCGCCAACCCCAGCCTCTTTGCTGCTCTCCTCATGTTCTCTTATACCATCTTTAACATCTGGCATATTTGTAACCCTAATCTTCAGATCCAAAGAATTTTGTGAAATTTTTCTATCCCTTGGCTTTCCTTTTTTCTCATATGGTATGATGGGCTTCACTGCAGCCTTGTAAGGTTCATATGGCACAAATTTTGGCTCCTTGCCCTTCAGGTTACCCAACAGAATTTTATCCTTCTTGGTCTGTGTTATATTCTTTGGAACCAAATTGACTAATTTCCCAGTAATAACTGGAGGTGTAGGGGTGAAGTGTTTGAAGTCAGGAGCTCTGTAGATCAGCCGGCTTCCTAAACTATTCTTATCTCGTTTCACAGGAACAGCATCACTTTTAACTTCTGCTTCATTTTCCATGCCATCTCCCTGCATTCGAACAGGCAAAGGCAATACCTGTTTGACAGCATCTGTAACATTTCATGATTTGGTGGATATCAATGGAACAAACAAAAAAACTTCATTTTTACCTCCAATTTTTATGTTTGGATCTTCTCATTATTACAATTTGATCGAACCTGTCATTATGTTCTACCAATTACAGGGACTGAATTAACGCACTCATAATGAAACTTTGTTGTCCTGGAGACAACAGGTGGAAGCTGGCAAACTAATTGAAATTTAATATTACCTGTTATCTGAGTTTTCACAGACTTCATCGTTAAAACTATTCAATAACAATTCTTTGCTATCCAAGCTAAAAATTTTAGTTTATATTGATCTTTAAATTTATTCAGCTGTATCTGTTACCTTTGCACATTAAATCCTATCAAACAATGCTATTTACTGCCAAAAAAACAAAAGAACTGGTTCTTATATTCTAGATACGTAACCTGGAAACCCGAATGAAATAGTCTATGACAACATATTCCATTGGAATAAAGGTACTTTCTAATATTATAGCCTTGGCGCATTTCTTGACTAGAAAATATCACACACAAAGCAGTCACAGAACAGGAGAATAACGCCAAGCTACTTACACTGATCACATTTAAAAATTATTCTTACGATACCGAGCTTATTTACATTTATTTCAGGTTTTCCTAGGAGGTTAAATATTCAAGCTCAAATTTAAACCAAGAATATGTGACAGCATCACAGTGAACATAAGTTATAATAAACCGGTATAATTTACCCTTTCTAGGATGTTCCATATTTTTAAGTCAGATTTACAGAGCAATACTTTTAACTCCCTTTTACCAAGTGATACTGCTCTACCGGTTCTTTCCGAGCTACATCTGTGTGACCCAGTGCGATCCGTGCCACTTTCATCAACGTTCATCAACTTCCACACCATGCACATTGCAACACGAAGGAATCAGCTGGTCGCATCGAAATCGAATGTGATTGGTCAGTAACTTTGTGTCTACGTTCGCGTTGTTCGCGTTTGCTGTGGTGATTGGTAAAGTTGTAACAAAATATGAAACTTGTGAATTATGGAACTAGTATAGAACGATATAGTTGTTCATGGTTGAAGTGTTTAAATATGCATGCAAATTTCGGAAAATAAGTTAATCAAAATGAAACGTTCTAGAAATGAAGTTGTTAAAGCAACAGTCGGTTCATACTTGAAACGACGTCATTATACTGTAAGTGGAATGAATTTGAACTTACTTTTCCAATGGAGCTGGTATGGTATTAATGTTTCGATAAACCTGTGTTTATCGAACATAACCTCAATAATACAGAGTTAGAGGGCATAAAAATATGCCTTCGCAGACGTTTATTCCTTGTATAGTAATTAAGTTGTAAATATGGTAATGCGGAACAATAAAACATTTGGCCGAAAGTGGACCGTAGAAAGAAAACTCCATCCGGATAGTCCAAATGAGTGATATAGAATGTAATGAGGTTTGTGTTTTTCATGGCGTTGAGTATTAAGATTATGATCTTCTGAGATGTGACTCTGTATAGTGTGAATGATAGAAACCAACATTTCGGGAGATCCTACTGTCTCCATTTTCTTCGTTGAAGATGGAGAGCACATGTCTGTCCCAAACAGCGATACCATCTTACTAATCGTCGTCACATCCCAGAAAACCGTGATCTTAAGAATATAAGGACATGTAGTAAGTATTTCTTCTGTTGTATCCCGAAGGATAGTGATGGGAAGTACTTATAGACCGAGCGGAAGTCTTGTGGACTGGGATCGTTGGAGCACTTAAGAATTGAAATTCAAGTCTTCGGAAGTCGGTTTTCAGGTTAATAGAATGATGTATTGAATCAAATGCTTATACAAGGTTACAATAGGAATATTAATTATAGTTACTTGATAAATGAACAAAAGGATGTGAGTGCACTATGCACCAACGTTGTAGGATTCGGCAGGTAGTGAGAGGTAGCCTCCAGGGAGGTGCTGAGTGTACTACTCAATGATGTCGCACTGAAGTTCAGTAATAACACACAGATACGTGAAGCTAGTGATTAAACTAGCGAGGAGTCCGACCGAAGTGAACAAGTCAAAAGTTTAGCGTGGTGTCCGCCGTGGCTGGCAAAGCCTGAGTTTTTAAAGGGATTCGAACCCCGAACTTGGTGCTTGGACATCCAGAGACACGCCTATTGAGGGCGTAGTCAGATTCAGGATCGACATTTGATTCGTCGTCCTTAAAGAAGAGTTTGACCATTCAGACGTATGGAGCACTGGATGGTCATAGGAATTCTAAATGAGGATTCCAATTAAAATGATTTTTGAAATCACGAGGGGAGAACACCTGCAGGAAGTGCCCATAAGCACGTCTCTCCCCAAAAGGGTGAACCTCTTATTTTGTATTCACTCAGAATTTCGGGGTCTAGACTACCCCATACAGGAAACGGACAACTTAGAATAAACAAGTAGGGTAGCTCGTGGTGCAGGGTACACTATCACATCTCGTAAAATAATGCGGGGGTTGAATACATATTACACTTCGCATTTGAGTCACTGCATTGGCAGACGTTGCTTGAGGCCTTTTGAATTTAGTTAAAACTAGCTTCATGGAACAGGGCCCTTCTTGAGGAGTTGATAGTTGCTGAACAGTTTTAGAATTCGCTCTTATGGAACCTGGACATTCATTACTGTGTTCACAGGAGCTTTTTCATGATACATATCCTGAACCAGATGAATTTAGTCCACATCCACATAACGTCTTCATGGTCCATTCTAATATTCTCTAACATTTATTTACAGGTTTCAGTGTTAATAAGGATTTGTTAGCAAGGTCATGCAATTTGATTGGCACATGTGATCCAGCTGGTGTCCAAAGTATGTCTGGATATATGAATTTTGTTATTTTACATTTATTGGAAGGGTGTCATAATCTCTTGTGAACTTCTTTGGTTCTTTCAGCTGTTACTGACAATATGTGTTTTATTTTGTGAAAGTTTGTTTATAGGTTGCTAGTGAAAACCTAGTGCTGTGTTACAGGACACAGAAAATTTCCGCAAGTCTGAACTGCAGTTAAGTCAGACAAATCAGCAAATGGCTGTCCTTTCAGCTGTTGATAAGGAAATAACTAGAAATAACTCAATCATATTCAGTACCATCAGTAATGACACAGTGCAGATTGATCAGCAATTTACCAGGTATGATCATGTATAGTGAAGTCACATAGTATATAGTTTTAAGTGGTGCATCTAAATTATATGCAGTTGTTGTTGAAGTTGGAAGTGTGTGTTACATGCATACATGAGAGTTTCAGCGTTTGTTATTGGCCATGTTTTAAGGTACTTAGCAGCCAGCAAGCTTCATTATTGCTTCTCTATTGTCATTATTTCTTATACATGGGCATAATGGGATGCTCCATGTGCACATTATATTTGTCTCTGTTCCATACAGAAGTCTGGTTTTACATGTTCTTTGTCTGCCTATTATCTTTCATTTCTGTTCTTGTACACCTTGTTGAAATCTTGCCTGAGAGACCCTTACTAACCTTAACATTTAACTACATTTTTTTAGTGACAGCAGTATTTTAAGAATGTAATTGAACTACATGTTCGAGTCTTAATGCTCTTGATTTGTATTTGAGAGGTGTTTGGTCCAAATTTTGGCTAGGGCACCATCCACCTGACTGAGATTTTTTGTGATTTTCCTCAGGCCCTCCAGACAAATGAACCCACAGCCACTTCTTTCAAAATCCTTTCCAATTCATCAGTCATTCTACCATTCAATTCTGTATTGTTTAGATACTGATAGTATCATAAGTAATGCACATAAAGGAACTCGGTGCATGTGAAATCTTAACTTTCATGTTTTTCTTCAACCAGATAGTGTTTCAGACAAATATAGGAGTCTCTTGCCAATTGCAGTTTTGCGAATTGCAGACTTAAGGTATTCATAGTTTTGCTTTTATTCATTTTTAGCATACTTTGCTTATTTGAAAAAAGTAAATGTAGGCTTATGAGATCACCTCAGGGTCTTCTGTGTGTCTGTTATATGTATCCCGCAAGTAACAACTTTTGAAGGCCTGAACCATTCTTTATAAATCTTGGTATGTATGTCTAGGCACTTGAGCCCATCTCAGTGGAATAATTCACTAGGTATTCCCATTTACAATACCAACATTACAGCCTCTCAGATTATTGAAATAATAATATTGCCTGAATGCCCAAACTAATCTTCATGAAACTCGGTATGTATATCATGCTACTTGAGGCCATCTGAGTGGTGTATTTCATAAATAACTCACACCATTAATACCAACACTGCAGCCTCCCAGACTTCATCGGTGTACTGACTTCATTACACATGCTTATTGAAGTTTCCTTTCTATGTGTCATATCAGGTACTCAAATTACAGTGAAAGGAATGTAGGCAGTTAGTTCTTCCCAGAACTTCTTATTTATATGTGGGTTGTTTCATGGCTGTCAGTAGTTCAAACTATATAACATTGAATCATAACATGATTAGTGAATAATGAATTGGAGAGGGTGTGGAAGGAATCAGTCATGTGCTTATTTCAGAGTCAGCAACTTTGGATTTTAAATTGGGACGGAGGGAGGGGGGACCTTAAGCGCAGGAAATTTCGAACTGAAATGATTGGCCTGGGCTCATAGAAACTGAAATGGGCCATAGAAGTTAGATAAGCCAGATACCATGGAAACTGAGACAGTTGTCCTGGGACAGTAGAAACTGAGAGATTGTCTTTGGACCATGGAAGCATGGATTGATCTGCGCGCATAAGAAGGGAAACAACGGGCCTGAAACCATAGAAGTGAAATGCCAAAGAAACAGATGTCTCATGCGGATAATTTGCAAAGGAATTTGCTGAAAAATTTTCACCAAATTCTCATTATTCACAGTGGTACATAAAATCAGAATATTTGCATGTAATTCAGCCTCCCTGCCATCTGTGGGAAAACAAATGGTGTTTAGCATACATTTAGTGAATATGTAGAGGCGATACTTACAGCTGAATGCCTGAATTTTTACCAAATTTTATTTAGACTAAAGACATGGATCAGCGAGATAAAGTCAGAGGACTGCAAGAGTGAGTTGGCAGCACTGCTGTGCCCCTTGTTCTGCCGTCTATACTTGGAAATGCTGAGAGGGGGACATCGTCAATCTGTAGCCAAGTTCTTCAAGCGACACCAGGGACTGTTTGTGTCAGGAGAGCACAGTCGAGAGTTGGTGGAGGAGTTGGCATGCATCTACAGTAACCAGGATATTGATTCCAGTCCTACAGTCAAAGTTTTCAGGTAACTACCAATTGATACAGTAGTGTTAAATATTTGAAGATGTCTGTTCTCTGGGACGTAATGTATTGTTGTCAGTTGCAAGTCTGTTGATGTTTTGGGAAACATGTCTCCATCATCAGGGTCAAACAATAAACCAAGCAAGATACTAGGATGAAGCAGACAAGAAGGTCAGTTTACTATTTAGCACTGAAGATGGAAGTAATATGTTCCTCAGAAATATTCATCGATTTACACTGGACTACATGGTGTTATATCTCAGAAGACAAGAATTGGACGCAGCGAAGTTACCTGGCTAGAGGTATCGGGGAGAGAGAACGATGCATTCGTTCTGCTTAACCAAGAAACCTCGCATTGCTTCCAGGAGGGGGGAGACAAGGTCAGCTGACCTGACGTCAGCTAAGACTTTAAGTGGAAAA